CAAAAATGTTCTTATAGTTGAAGCTTTCTAAGCCTGTTACTTATCCAACTCCAAATTATGAACGGATTCTATGTTTACTTTTTTCACCCATACATAAAGCTTTTCATATCCTAGAAGTCAAGAAAAAGTGATTTAATCTTACCATGAGAAGTTGCTTCCAAGTGTGTATATATATATATATTTTAAGATCAGTTTTCTTTGGAAAATTTCTCCGTACTTAACAAAAGAGAGAAAATGACTCCTCTGTGTGTGTGTGTGTGTGTGTGTGTGTGTGTGTTTGTAATTTGGTTTTGTCAGAGTGAAAAGTGATGCTAATTAGGTTAAAATAAGTATTTGGCACTAAATAGGGTGGTATCTAAACCAAATTTTGTATTTTGTACCAAATTTCTAAATCCTTTTTGTTGCCTGGATGGATTAGCTGGTTCATTGTAATGTTTGTGTTATCTGTTGGATACGTCTATGGTTGTCCTTAGTTCATTGGTCCTCAGATGGGTGCAGGCCATTTAAGCTGCTCCCTGTGGTACAGTAGGGGTGGACAAAGTGCTTTGTGAGTTATTTCCTAGTTTCATGAGGAAGAACTATTGCATATGGAGGCACAAACTTACTTCCCTTCATTTTAGAGATACACACACATGCATACGCACGCATACAGAGTACATTACAGGTGTAAGTTCTCAGTATGTCTTCACAACATCATTTTTAATCTTATATTAGATTTGGCACTTTTAATACTACTAGTAGTAGTATTAAATACTGAATATACTTTGCTGAATATACTTGGCTTACTGGTGCTGTGAAGACAACGAGCATTCTAATTGCAGTATGTTATCTTTATGGTAAGTGTCTATTAGATTCACTACACTGTATATGTGTGTCAGTTTACCAAATGGATTTGCAATGATTGACACAGATTTCTTAAGGGAGAACTAAGAAAGCTGTTAGTTATATTGGTGGATTGAGTTAATAATTGAGATTTTCTTTTATATTGATTAACAGGGTGGAAAACAGAGAAAAGCAACATTAATACATTAAAAAATTAAACTACCTTTACTATTCAGTGATAGTTTTCACCAATTGCTGGGAACATAGTCAAAGGCATTCCTACAAAGCACAGCACCCATTATTTTTGTTATGAGTGAAAATCTAATTTACATACAATAAAATGTCAATTCACATCATAACCATCAAGATAAATAGAAACATTTATACTCTTCGATGAGCTACTCTTTTTGAACTTAAGTGCTGTGCTTGGCTCTTTGCCCAGAGACCAGTTGAAATATTCTAAGTTTAACAGAGAAGTAGGGATGAAGTTGAAACTGACTTGTGTGCAAATGTAAAGTCAGATTGGCCTGTGTGAATCAACAGTTGTCATTGCAGATATTTTCATTGTATGTGTGTGTGTGTGTGTGTGTGTGTGTGTGTGTGTTTGAGAGGAAAACAAAAGGAAAAACTACTTTTCTTCAGGGAAACAAATGGTAACATTTCTCAATTTGCACAGTGAAATTGTGATCTTATTCAAATCAGGGATTTCAATACGTTTGCCTCTCACCAGTTATGAAAGGAAAAATAATCAATTCCCCTTGCCATTTGAGACTCCGTGATGTATTCTTGCTCTATTTTAGATTCCCTAGTTAGTGAATAGGTGCATTCTTTTTTTTTTTTTCCAGATATATCCTACAGTGTCATTGTGACTATAGCCTAAAGTTTTTTTTAAAATAGTTTTGTAATTTTCTTATAAAAGTACAATGGTTAATGAATTTTTTTCTCTAACATGTATTTGGATATAGGAAGATTCATTTAGGCAAATAGAACATTATTACTTAACTTACCACACTATCTCCTTTTACTTAGACAAGTGCATTTGAAATGAGATATTTAAAATCTAGAGAACATAGCAAGATGAAATAAAAGCCTAATAAAATGTGTTTGGGCTAGCATCAAAACCTTTGAAATAGGATATCTAAATAGTGTGCATTTTATCTCAGAGGGCTTTCGGTTAGTTCTAGTGTCCAGATGACTATTAATGGGCTTTTGTGCTCTGAAGCGTATGCTAATAGAAGTGATCATTTTGGATTAGTTTGATGTGAATTAATAAGAGATTTATTTGGTGGAAGTTGTTTGAAGGTGATGACATTTAAAACTCAACAAGATTTAAGAAGTTCAAAAATACTTTTAAAAAATTTGGGAACAGTCAATTCAGAGAGAGCAAATTAAATAGAAATGGATAGGAAAGAACAGGATCTGACATTGAGTTTACGAAGTTTGAAGCAGTTTACAAAAAAAGCGATCTACCATTGAAGTATTGCCCTGGAATTTGAAGAAACAGAAAACATCTAAACTTCTTCAGTGATTCTTGGGTTTGTGAATTGGATAAACAATGTTCTCTTGCATTTTATAGTTCACTTAAGCAATCTGATTTTGATCTGTATATATGGAGTAGACAGGATTCAAGTGTTTTTTTTTTTTTTTCCCTAAACCAATGAGCAAACACATATGTTCTTTCAAAACTGAACTGTATATGTTGTTCATATGGAAGCTATCTAGTTTGCTCTAGGCCCAAGATTTGACCCTCCTTTTATTTTGCTATTTTTTTTTTAATTCTTTAAATTTTTTTTTTTTCCTTTTGATCAAAAGAAACATTTTTTTCTTTCTTTTGTTTATTTTTTTTTTTAATAAAAGCTACATGAAATGTGTAATTAATAACTCAGTACTCTTATGCTGGTGATACAAGCAAGCATGGAAGAAAACATATTTATTAAGGCAAAGACCATGATGACTTTTCTTTTTGTGTTAAGCTTTGGTTTTAAACAGTTGAGAAGTTTTATAAGCTGGAAAAACAAAAGGAACATGTCATCTGGCATTATATGTTATGAAAATAAGAACTGATACTTATAATTAAAAATTATGTGCAACAAGATTTGAAACTGAGGTCCAATTACAGGATCTTGCCCTCCTGCTTTTTCAGAGTCTTGTTCAGAATGTAATGTGTGTGTGTGTGTACATATATATGCACACACATATATGTATATGAAATTATATTTGGAGAGATACTCAAAAGTGTCAGTTTTCCTTGAGAATAGGAGTTCCTTATAGTCATTTTCTTTTTAAACATCTCTCTCTTAAATTAATGACAATTAATAAAATTAAAGTCATCTTGCTTAGTGTGTTTGGCATATAACTGAGGTTGGATATATTTACTGAATGAATGAATATTGGGGGAAGTGAGAAACTGAGGCAAAGATAGGCTTCAGTGGTATTTAGACCACCCTTAGTAGTTGGTGGTTTACTCTTCTATAGTCTTTCAGTGCAATTGGGCAAACTTTTTAAAGGTAAAACTGAAGTGCCATTAACCGGAACCACTGTAGAGTCACAGAGGTGGGGGAGTTTTAGAAATAATTTATTCAAATTCCCTTATTGTACAGGTAAAAAGAGAGACTCAGAGAAGCAAAAGGACTTGCCCTTGATCACATGAGCAGGTGATTTAAATCAGGTGTAGAGACTGGATATGCAATTTCCATACCATTTTTACTCAGGTTTTAATTCTTTACTTTACTTAGGGTCAAGATACTACAAAGAATATAGAATTTGTAAAATTTACACCTTTTACCTTCAAAGAGTTTCTCATCTAATGGAAATAAATTTTAGTTCATCTGCATTGAGCTGATGTGTGATCTAAGATCTGTTTTAAAATTACTGTGATAGTTGATTTCTTTAGTTGAATAATTTATTTGATTGTCTATTGCAAGGTTAGTTGGAGTAAGAATATATCATTAAATGTAGGCATGTATATATTTATATGTAATATTTGTAATATAACTAAATCACTAGTGGTTAATTTACAGTATCTAGGTAATGATAGAAAACTCAAATCCCTTTGCCTGTGAAGGTGCCCTCTTGAGAACATCAGTCAGTCTTCTATGGGAGAAGATTTTTTTTCTTATGTATTTAAGCATTTTAAATAGTGCGATAAAATAGTTATCAGAATTATTTTTAAGCTCGAATGCTGATTATTTCTACACCATAAATCTGTCTAAATTATATGGTAACAGAAATAATGCGCTCCTATTTTTATAAGAGTAAACACATTTTCTAAGAAAGCAAAGAAAGCATTTAGATTTGTTTTATTTAGAAGGAAATATGGTTAATTAAAAGTAGAAATTTGTAATTTTTACAGATGCAATGTCTTGTATCTCAGCAATGAAAATTAATACAAATAGAGTATTTTTGGAAAGCTACATATATTTTTAACCTGCCTAAATATCTTGGCACATAATATACATTCTCATTATATGGGCTGTTCAGGTGGAGAATAATGTAAATGTAGGCCTGCTCCCTACTACTTAGCCCCAGAGGTCAATTTTTAATCTCACAATTAAATAGAGGACGTAAAATAGCCATTTTGAGCTTTGCAGTTCTCCTTTAAATTCTTTACCTCCTCTTTTTCAACTTCACTTTTAGCCTATTATCTAAAATGGCAATTCATAGTGGACTTACTCTAATGGGCATTTTGAACTTTTCTGGGGGTAGGGTACTGCATCAAGGATACTGCTATGTAGTAGGGTGATAAAGATTAAAATAGAGTTGCCAAAACTAATGACTGCGTTCATTGTTGTGATTAGGTATTTTAATTGCTTTAAGATTTTCCCTTTAAAAGCGTTTGCTGGAGTTTACAAATTAAGATCTTTTACCCCCACCCCATTGTAGGTAAGTATTATGGTTATTAGGGTTGACGGGGTTTTAGAGGTTAAATAATTTCACCAACATCACAGTCTGTTATGAAGATGACTTATGTCCTATAACCTTTTATATGATGTTCCTCCTTCTGTTGTTGCTTTATTAAAACCCAGGGGAGGGAGAGGATCTTGCTCAAGATCTGCTCATGCTTTTATATCTTTCAGGCAGCCTATGATGCTGGCATATTAATTTTTTTTAGGTGTGATACATGAAAATGTGTTTACATCATTTAGGAAGGAAATTTTTTTTTTTGCTTTGTTTTGCAGATGTACAGATCAGCTCTCAAAATGTCTTCTGTGTCTTCCGAGCGTCTTCTAAGACAATTGCATTAGCCTCCTGCTAGTTGACTAATAGAATTAATAATTGTAAAAAGCACTCTAAAGCCACATGCCTTATGAAGTCAATGCTGGGTATGATTTTACAAGTATGTGATCTATTTTTTCAAGTGAAAATGTTAACTGGAAAAGTTCTTGGCACACAGTAAAACATCGTGCAATCTGTTATTTGTCTTAGAGATAATAACTTGAGGGTGGCTATAGTCTTATGGTATCTAACTTACGACTTGCTAGGGGAGTTTCTTCCACTTAGAAGTATGACAGATGTGCTTATATTTACATAATCTGTCACTCTGAAAAATTATGATGATATAATTCCAGTAATTTTTTTTTTTTTTTTAAAAAAAAAAAGTATAGTCAACTAAATTAAGTACACTTTTTTTTTTTTTTTTAAAAAAAAACAGCAACTAAAGAGCATGCCCCTGCCCCCACAACACAAAATAAAACCCAAACGACCTTTCGGACATTTCTTTGAAGTTTTAGCAGTTTAACAGTCTTTGCAATGTGTATTATTAAGGACTCTATTCAGCATAAGGAGTCGTGAGTCATAAGTGTTCTAAGTATCTGTTCTTGGGTAGAAGAAGGAACTTCAATTTTAGAAAGATGATAATTTAATTAAGTCATATTTTCTCCCAGCCACTAAAGATGCTGGTTGAGTAGTCTTTAAACTATGACCCATTATATATCTTCAATGTAACAATAAATCAACTAGATCTAAAGCTTCTTCTTGTTTTGAAAAATAAGTTAATTTTTAAAATACTAATGTATTTGGATCTATTCACTTTTAAGTATTTTATCTTCGTTCCCTTGCTATTTAAAATGTTGCCATTTTCCTAATCACTCACCCTGGCGTTAACATACGGGCATAAACCGTTTTCTCTTCATTTTGACGGAAGGATAATCTTAATGAATTAGATTATTTCTTCCTTATTTCTTCGTGAGTCCTGTCTTTTGATATAGAATTTTTAATTTTTTTGTGTGTAACCTTATTCATTTCATTTAGGTGGTTCAGTGTTAGATTCTAGTCATCTTAAGAAGAAACGGTTAAAATACAAATGATACAGGTATTCAGTAAGGGAAGATTATATTGTAATAGTTAGTGAAGACATTATGTGTAATGGAAAAAATTAACAATCAGGAAATTCTGGAGGGAATGGTAAGAGAAGTTGTATCAAGCCTTCACAGTTTTATGTGTAGGAATGTCTGATTACAACCTAAAATATCCTTTTCTGTAGACCACGTTAAAACCGTGCATAGTTTGCTTAAACTTATATTTTAAATGATAACTAATTTTTTCAGGTTGCCCATTTAGTCTTTTCCCCCCCATTTTCCCTTTATTGACTACTAGTAAAATTGCCCTTCGGTTTTCTGTGTATTTTCACACATTCCCAGGGCTTCTTTAGTCACTTCTGACAAAAGAATACAGGACTCCTAAAAGGTTGACATAACACATAAGACATTGAAATGCAAACATTAAAAAAAAAATAGTTGACCAGTGTTTCCTTTTTTAACAGTGGTCATCAGGCTTCGTTAATTTTAGGGCCTCACAGAATAACACCAAGATGAGAAGCTCATAGTCCTCTTCCTCCCTCCAGAAGTCAGGCACATTTACATTGCCTCAACACAACCACTTCTACTTGAAACTTCACTCTTTCATCCTGTATATGTGTATTTTGTTCCAGGAGAAAGCTTCTGTAGATATTTGGCAAATAACATTATTGATATGTAAGAACAGTGTACTTTCTTTCTTTTTTTTTTTTTTTTTTTGCTTGTTTTTGTTTTTGTTTTGTTTTAGATGGAGGTTCACTCCTGTCGCCCAGGCTGGAGTGCAATGGCACAATCTTGGCTCACTGCAACCTCTGCCTCCTGGGTTCTAGCAATTCTCCTGCCTCAGCCTCCCGAGTAGCTGGGATTACAGGAGTGCACCACCACACCTAGCTAATTTTTGTATTTTTTGTAGAGACAGGATTTTGCCATGTTGGCCAGCTGGTCTCGAACTCCTGACCTCAGGTGACCCACCCACTGTGACCTCCCAAAGTGCCTAGGATTACAGACGTGAGCCCCTGCGCTTGGCCCAGTGTACTTTCTTAAGTACCATTATACTATTTTTGACATTCACTGTGGCACATTTTTACTTTGTAAATGATTCTTTATACTCTAGTGCACTATCGTTGTTCAGTGATTCATATAAAAATTTTGCGTGACCAGCTTTTCAGAAGCAAAGGTAAACCTGTATATCCAAAGCTAGTGTGGTACTTCAGTACTTGAAGAAATTATAGATGAAAATGACTAAACTATGTTATTTGGATTTTCTCAGCACATTTTGGATAATCGTGGTATAACTAACTGTTAGTCCTTATGGTGAAGTCAGCTAACAAAGAAGTCTTACTTAATCAGAATGTCACAGGTGGAATTTTCCAAGAGACATTTGGGGTGATGACTTACACAGCACTCGACAGCTCTTTAAGCTGAGTGATTAAGAAATAGCAGCCATGGAACCCAGTCTTCGACCAGCCTTTGTTAATGTATTCTTTAATTGACACTACGTAAATTATTTCTTAGTTTATTTTATATTCTTAGAGTTCTGACTCATTCTACTCCAGCAGAAGAATTTGTTCCAGTATTATTCTTTTGACCCCAGTCACTGATGTCACTAACTTAACTTGAGAGACATGGTTGAGCTAATGTGTAAAGGTGAACCATAGGAAACTGCTAATATTTTACTGTTTTGAGCGACGCAAGGACAATATCATATGGTTCAGCTTAATATTCTTTCTTAGTCAGTTTCCAGTGCACTCCCGGTGGTGGAACAGGTACTGTTTTCACCAGGCTGCGTATGGGACACCCAGAGCTTATTAGGTTCCCCAACATGCTGGACAGAGTCCTAGGAAAACCTGATCCAACCACTGTGATGTGTACCAGGTCTTTCTTCTGTCTTTCAGGCAAGCTCCAAATGTGGCTTAAAGAAATTTGGTGGTAGGTCAGAACTGGAACGTTTGTGATCCTCCACTTCCTGAAAGTGATGAGGCAGTTTTTTTTCTGTTTATAACATAGCTGTTTCTGTCTTTTTGACAATGAAGATATTTTTTTTGAAACTATATTTACATCCCGGTTGCATAGAGTAATAATATCGAATTCCAATTTATGTTATTCATGTATACATATACGTACCATATAAATAAACACGTGATGTATTCCATAAACATAAACACACACATATATTTTATAAACACAACGTGTACATGTTATATATAATATAGACCATATATAAATATATAAGCATGTATATATATTGTTAGCTACAATGGGAGGAAGAAATTGGACAAAAATATATTTTCAGGAAAGCATAAGTAATAGGAAGGGTAAACCTAGTAATAAAAATCCTTCATTATTCATAAAACAACCTTAAAATAATAAATGAGCCACTCTTGGTTACAAAAGTCATTCTACATGTAAATTGTTTGTTTTAGTCTCAACTTTTTGCTATTTTTAGAGCTGATTTTTTTTCCTAGAGGAAGCATTTGATTATGGCCCTTAAAAAACTTGCATAAGTAAAATATTCCAGATACAATTATATCTCTGTAACTTTCAAATAACACTGTATCTGCCTTTTCCCTGTATCTTTGCAGATATGGTCCGGAAAAAGAACCCCCCTCTGAGAAACGTTGCGAGTGAAGGCGAGGGCCAGATCCTGGAGCCTATAGGTACAGAAAGCAAGGTATCTGGAAAGAACAAAGAATTTTCTGCAGATCAGATGTCAGAAAACACGGATCAGAGTGATGCTGCAGAACTAAATCATAAGGAGGAACATAGCTTGCATGTTCAAGATCCATCTTCTAGCAGTAAGAAGGACTTGAAAAGCGCAGTCCTGAGTGAGAAGGCTGGCTTCAATTATGAAAGCCCCAGTAAGGGAGGAAACCTTCCCTCCTTTCCGCATGATGAGGTGACAGACAGAAATATGTTGGCTTTCTCATGTCCAGCTGCTGGGGGAGTCTGTGAGCCCTTGAAGTCTCCTCAAAGAGCAGAGGCAGATGACCCTCAAGATATGGCCTGCACCCCCTCAGGGGACTCAATGGAGACAAAGGAAGATCAGAAGATGTCACCAAAGGCTACGGAGGAAACAGGGCAAGCACAGAGTGGTCAAGCCAATTGTCAAGGTTTGAGCCCAGTTTCAGTGGCCTCAAAAAACCCACAAGTGCCTTCAGATGGGGGTGTAAGACTGAATAAATCCAAAACTGACTTACTGGTGAATGACAACCCAGACCCGGCACCTCTGTCTCCAGAGCTTCAGGACTTTAAATGCAATATCTGTGGATATGGTTACTATGGCAATGACCCCACAGATCTGATTAAGCACTTCCGAAAGTATCACTTAGGACTGCATAACCGCACCAGGCAGGATGCTGAGCTGGACAGCAAAATCTTGGCCCTTCATAACATGGTGCAGTTCAGCCATTCCAAAGACTTCCAGAAGGTCAACCGTTCTGTGTTTTCTGGTGTGCTGCAGGACATCAATTCTTCAAGGCCTGTTTTACTAAATGGGACCTATGATGTGCAGGTTTGTACTTCGTATTGTCTCTTTGTACAGAAAAAGTTATTAGAAATGAAATGTGAATTCTTACATACATGTTAAAACCAAGGTCCCAGTACCAGGCAGGTAGCCCGCTAGATCTAGCAGAAGAGATGGACATACTCCATAGCTACTTCATTACAAGTATATTCAGAGTTGTCTAAAGACAACTTTTGCCTCTTATTGTGGAATACAATCCTAGCATCTTTTTTGATTTGGGAAAGTCTTTTCATGGAATTAGCTAAGCTTCACAATTCTGGACATTTTTCATGGTAATTGATGTTTTCACAGTCTTCCAAAAATGTTACTAATCTTTATGGTTGTACATGATAATAATTCATGCCTTGTTCCAGCTTAACATTATAAGGCTTTTGCTATAATCTTTCTTTCAGTGAGGATATTTCTTGTCTCTTGGATTAGGATTTGATTTTATATTCATCCTGACGGGTCATATTGATGGTTGCAGAGATACTCCTGAAAAGGCAAAATAATTGCAAATGAAAACTGGGATATAACATTTTACATTGATTAGAAAGAAGTAAATGTGATTTTAAGTATTAGGGACACCAGAATGACCTTGGTAGGGGCCAATAAAGCATTCCTTTCTGCATTTAAGGAAAATGACAATAATTTATGAAAGCATTTAGTAATAATTTAGATTTGTAGTTTCATTAAAAACAGCCTACCTTTTTGATCTATCTTTCTGTCTCTAGTTTATGGCATATGTGAAATGGAAAAAAGAAACTGTTACCATTTTGCATAAAATGAAACATGGAACTGAGTCTAAATAAATGTATACATTTAATATTAGTAATTTTAGCATAGTCAAAATTCACGATCAGCTTGACAAAGTGTATTAGATTTTGTTACAGTTTGTAGATTTTTATTGTATTATAAGGCCAGGGGGATTTCAAAACATGTTAGCTTTACTAGTAACCTTTTTTAGGATTGATTAGTAGTACCCAGAGAACTAATGAAATACATCCCTTAAAATATCAGTCATTTTTATCAACTCGATAGCTATAGCTCATTTGCCTCAGACCTCTCTATTGACCTAATGCCAATTAAGAAAGTCAGGCAAAGAGGTTATAAATAACAGGTAGTGAACATATTTTGCAATACTTGTAAGAAGAATCAGAAGAGAAATTTCCTGGTCCTTTAAATGTCAGAATGGCAATCCTATCAGTTTAAGGGAGATGTAAAGAACTCTTTAAACACCAGTTTCATCTTGGTAAAGCACTCTAAAAATTCTGTCTTAGTTTGTGAATTTCCACAAATAGAATTATTTCTGTGGAGCAGCAAATTAACCCAACATAATTATTATGCATAAAAGCTACATGCTTTGAACTGCTGTCTATTAAAGATCATTTCACTGTCTTATGTCAGATACACTCTGCTGTCAAACTATGATTGGGAAGCAAATACGTGTTTTAGATAAAAGGGTTGGAAGTGAATAATGTCAGTATGTGAAACGGTGTTTTATAATTAGCAAGTAATATGAAGTTAATACCTGGATTTCCGGCAGGAGTTTCAGTTTGTTCACTCTAGGGACAACTTCTGAGGGAAGCTGATCTAGGCTGTCAGGAAAGCTCTAAAAACGAAAATTACTAAGGCCTATAGTTTGGAAGAATTCAGATTTTTAAACACACTTCCATTTCCCCCAAACAGTTATTTGTTAGGTTCTTGGTTATTTATAGTAAAGTTTATGTTTGGGTAGAAGGAGCTGGACACTTTTCCTGGGCAGTGATTTTAGAAGTAAAACAGATGTGTGAGCTATCTAAGTTTGAACTAATAGAACTAGAAATAAAACAGCTGATCCTCGACTATGCTGTCTGCTAAGTCCTTGCAGCACACAGCGAGGAAGACAAAAAGTGGTAGGAGAGAGCATGCAGGAACATAATCTTGTTAAGATCAAATTTTTTCCAAGATAAATAATATTGCTAAAAATAGAAAAAAGTAATCTGTGGAAAGAGTGCGTGATTATTTCAAACGATTGGATTTTGAAATGCATCTAAAGGGTTAACTTCAATTTGTGAGGATAACACTGAATATACTTGTAGGGCGAATGCTAATCTTGAATGCTTTGCACATATGCCAGATACTGATGCAGAAAAATGTCTGAAGATAAGTAACTTATTAATATCTTTATGCTGAAATAAATATTGAACAGTTTTTCTATATGCATAAAATGAATAAAAACGCATCTGAAATTTCCTTTTTTACCCACAAGTTTGTGTTACCGAAATGCTATTTGAGAGATTCTTTCCTTGGCGGTTAAACTTTGTGGAGGCTAAAAACTGTGGGAGATAAAATGCTGACTATAGAATTTCTTTAATGCCGTTTTGTCAGAAACATATAGTAAGTTAATGGCCTGTGTGTGTTCTGATAAAAAGATGTTGGTAAATATGAGTATTACAGACAAATAATCATTCAGTTTTAGGAATTATTTATATAAGTCCATAATTTAAGCTAATTGAAGTAATAGATGAAGAATTCATTAATTCTTTTCAATTAAACTTGCTTTTTAAAAAACATTCAGAACAGTTGGTGGTTAATGATAGATTTATGACATTTTAGGCCAAGAAAAAAGTAACAGAAGCCAAAAGCAAAAGACTGAAAGAACTCTATGGCTTTGATCTATATTTTGGTTTGACATGGATGATTTTAAATAATTTGAGTGGACTTGAGTGCAAATATGAGATATACAGTTGGGAAAAAGAAGTACAGTAATTTAAACAAATTCTAAGATTTCCAGTTTTAAGTGCAAGTTATTTCAAATATACGTGGAGGAATAATTGAAATGTAGACATGCTTGTACTGATAATATCCACTTTTGTATAAATTACATCACAAATGACTGAGTCAAAGAATTACAACTTTGTAAAAATACTGTCAAATAACAATGTTTCTTTGTGCTGCATAGTGGATAGAGCCCCAGCCGGATAATGGAGATCACTGTAAATAGCCATCAGAAAGCCAAGACTGTCCTTTCTAAGTGTGGCTTTTATCAGATTCTCCTCCCAACACCTTGAGGTAGCATGCCCAGCCCTGAAAGCAGAAGACGTGTCAATTCTTTACCAAGAAAACAAGAGAAGCTGTAATGGCTAGCTTAGAATTAATTGATTTGACCAGGATGTTAGTTTCCCAATTTTTCATTTATCCAGCATGTTCTATCAATTGTCATGCTTAAATTTTTAAAAATAATAGATGCAGCATGATTGGTTAGCTTTTCATGTAATATTTACTATCTGTATTCAGCCACTAAGGCTGCCATAGAGACCAATAATACAAGAGATCGAGTTCTTAAAAAAGTAATTACAGCTTCTTTCTTTTTATTTTTTTATTTTTATTTTTATTTTTTGAGACGAAGTCTCGCTCTGTCGCCCAGGCTGGAGTGCAGTGGCATGGTCTCTGCTCACTGCAACCTCCGCCTCCCGGGTTCAAGCGATTCTCCTACCTTTTTTTTTCGAGTAGTTGAGATTACAGGTGCCTGCCACCGTGCCAGGCTAATTTTTTTTTGTATTTTTAGTAGAGACGGGGTTTCCTCATATTGGCTAGGCTGGTCTCGAACTCCTGACCTCGTGATCCACCTGCCTCGGCCTCCCAAAGTGCTAGGATTACAGGTGTGAGCCACTGCGCCCTGCCAGCTTCTTTCTTTTTAATCTGCTTTATTATGCTTGTATTTAAACCATTGCTGAATGGAGGCCTGAATTAACGACGCGGCCTTTGCTGTTTCATTAGGGCTTAATGTGCTGTGCATTGGGTGTTTGCATCATCTTTATTGGGGAGCTTTTAGCACTCAGATCAGGTTATAAAAGTAGGAGTCTTGTCAAGTTGTGCTTCCCATGGGAAAGTGTTTATGCAATCCCAAGTTCAGATGCTCATGATATATTTGTTGCCTTTTCATATTAGTAAATTCTTTTTTATTACTGCATTATTCAGGACTCTAAGAAGGTAGTTACTGGTTTCCAGCTATTAAATTTATTTTGGCCCTTAATGAAATTCTAAGGCTAATAGAAGAATCACATGATTAACTTACGAAGGACTGTCTTATGTTTGAGCTAGGAGTGTTACATTTCTATGTTGTAAATATTTTTATCAGAGTTGCACAATATGTCATGTTAGAAGCAGGAAGAACAGATTTTAGAGAGAGGAAGTCATTCTTCGGATTTGTATCTTCAACAGATTTAATTGTATGAGTTTATAGATCTTTAACATGTATCAGTACAATCGTTTGAGCAGGGGATTACAGTTTGGTTTGGAAAAAAAAAAAATCAGAGACCATTAATCTCATTGTGGTTTATTTTGACTTGTCTTGAATTTTACTTCTAAACATTTATTTTTTGCCTTCACATTTTCTTTGATCTGGAGTAGGAGGGAAGTTGTAGATCTTAGCACGTTCTGTTTCTTTGTTTTTCCGAGTTGAGGACAATTTCAGTTTAGAAAAACTGGTGAATGAGACTTGAATCAATTCAGACTGTCTATAGAATACAGAATGTTTGGCATATGAACCCACACTTCTTTCTCAGGACTGTGTCTCTTTAACAAGTAATAAAGTGTGCAAAATAAGACATATGCTCACGCCAAGGCCATAAAGCAAGACAAAGGTCTGGTATTTACCAGGTTATTTTCATCAGTGGAGATGGCAGAGCTAAATAATGTAGCCACTCTAGTAGAATAGTTCAACTATCATTACTAATCCCTTTACCTGCATGTCAGTTGAATCTTTTTTGACCTTGTTCGTGACAGTTGGTATCATCTTTGATTTTCGGTTTATTTGTTATCATTTAAAAGAACATGTATAATTTTATTGAATATCAGAATTTTTCTCTAGGCAGAATGTTTAGGAGAATAAATTGTGGTTATCAGTGGATCCAATCAAATTTAGCATTATTCAACTCCTAAGAAAACGTTTTACCTCTCCTGTGGCCTGCTCTGCTAACTATCTCAAGTCGGGAGACTATTCAGTGTTTTTTATTTCTTGGATC